CCTGGCCCCCCGCCCCAGGCCCGGAAGGAGGGTTTCCTGGTTTGGGGCTGGTTCCCTTCCGCACACAATGCATTTCACACTGGCCTGGCTCCGCCTGACCCAGAAACAGCTACTGTGGGAGGAGGAGGCAGAGGGTCCCCTGGAAGGCGACACTCCCCCACATCTCGGGGCCTCATTTACCTGTGTCTGAAGTGGGCCTGCAGGGTGTGCTGGGGAATGGGCAGGGGCTGCTACACAGACACCAACCGAATGCAGCCGGCCACCACCGCCTGCCTGGGCGGCCTGAATGCGGACCCGTATGAGATTGGGGTGGTTTCAGTGCGGCTTCCTGTCACCAGCTCAGGACACAAATCCAGCCATATGACCTGGAGCCACAATGCAACAATAATGATGGTGATGGTGAAGGTGGTGATGGTGATGGTGGTGGTGATGATGATGGTGGAGATGGTGAAGGTGGTGAAGCAGGTAATGGTGATGATAGTGAAGCTGGTGAAGGTGATGATGATGATGGTGATGGTGGTGATGGTGATGAAGCTGGTGAAGCAGGTGATGGTGATGGTGGTGATGGTGGTGAAGGTGGTGAAGCAGGTGATGATGGTGATGGTGGAGATGGTGATGATGATGATGATGATGATGGTGATGAAGCTGGTGAAGCAGGTGATGGTGATGGTGGTGATGGTGGTGAAGGTGGTGAAGCAGGTGATGATGGTGATGGTGATGATGGTGGTGATGGTGGAGATGGTGATGATGATGATGGTGATGAAGCTGGTGAAGCTGGTGAAGCAGGTGATGGTGATGGTGGTGATGGTGGTGAATGCTGGCATGCTGAGGACTTCCTGAGTGCCACACTCACTCTGAGCACTGCATGTTAGTCCGCTGAACGCACACAATCCCAGCCCTGTGGGGTGTCTCTACTACCACTGCCCCCACTTTACAGCCAGGAGAAGGCAACTAAGTGATTTATCCAAGGTCACACAGTTAAGAGGCAGAGAAAGTACAAGCTCAGCTCATGGTCCTGATGTGGTATTGATGGTCAAGGTTATCTAAGTACTTGGGAGGGTAGAGAGGGGGCAGGATCAGGCATATATTCTTGAGTAGACAAGGGTGCACTCGGGAACCCTGACTGGCACCTCCCTGCAAAACAGCTGCTACTGAGCTCCTGGGGGTTGCCCCGGGATCTACAAAAAAGGGCTCAGCCTGACAGCGTCTCAGGTGCCAGGTCCTCCTGTCCCCGACTCCCTTTGTCCTCCCTGGCCTCTGGCCCTTCCCCAATCTGGAGACCCCACAGGGAGCTCAGTAAACAATTTACCCCATGGGCGAGGGGCCAGGGCTCTGAGGGAGGTGGCTCAGCCCCCTTCAGCCAGCAGGGAAGTGGGCTGGGAGCAGACAGCTGAACCTCTGTTCTAGGGCCTCTCCCGCAGCGGCAGGCAGTGCCAGGCACAGCTCTTGGACACCCCATAGCGGTTGCTGGGGACAGCGCAGGTGCCAAGGGCCATCCCTAACCAAGGCTCTTGATGTCTGCAGCCACCCCTCCCCTACAGGTGGCAGGGTCCCTACTGATGAGAGGCCTACCTGGCTCCCTTCAGGGACCACTTACTCCACGGGGGGACTGGGGACTTCAGACAGCAGGGTTTCTTAAGAGAAGGGCTCATCCAGATGTCATGGGCCATAGGGTGGGGGGCACAGAATTTCCCCTTGAAGAACTTGGCCTTGGGACTCTGCCCTAGAGGAAAGGACTGTGTACCCCATTTGTGTCCTATAGTCTCACATTTTTTTCTTATTGTGTGTTTTTTTTTTTAACATTTAATTTTTTTATTTATTTGACAGAGATTGGGAGCACAAGCAGGGGGAGCAGCAGGCAGAGGGAAAAGCAGGTTCCCCACCGAGCAGGGAGCCCGATGCGGGGCTCAATTCCAGGACCCTGGGATCGTGACCTGAGCCGAAGGCAGTTGCTTAACGACTGAGCCACCCAGGCGCCCCATTTTGTTGTGTTAAAATACACATAACATGGAGCGACTGGCTGCCTCAGTTGGAGTGTGTCTCTTGACCTCGGGGCTGTGAGTTTGAGTCCCATGTGGGTGCAGAGATTACTTAAAATCTTTAAGGGGCGCCTGGGTGGCTCAGTCGTTAAGCGTCTGCCTTCGGCTCAGGTCATGATCCCAGGGTCCTGGGATCGAGCCCCGCAGCGGGCTCCCTGCTCAGCGGGAAGCCTGCTTCTCCCTCTCCCACTCCCCCTGCTTGTGTTCCCTCTCCCGCTGTCTCTGTCAGATAAATAAAATCTTTAAAAAAATAAAATCTTTAAAATAAACACACCTAATGAAAAACCTACTATGTTAACAATTTAAGTGTACAGTTCAACGGTATTAAATGTTAGTAACGAACTACCATCACCACCATCCATCTCCAGAACTCATTTTGCAAAACTGAAACTCTGTCCCCATTAAACACTAACTCCCTGTTCCCCTTCCCCAGACACTGGCACCCACCATTCTACTATCTGATTTTGATGACTCTGAAGTACCTTATAAAAGTGTAATTGAGCAGTATTTGTCTTTTTGTGATTGGTGTTATTTCACTCAGCATAATGTCCTCAAGATTGAACTATATGCATGTGTCAGAATTTTCTTCCTTCTTAAGGTTGAATAATACTCCCTTGTACCTGCAGACCACATTTTGTTCATCTGTTCATCCACCAATGGGCTTATGGGTTGCTTCTGCCTTTTGGCTATAGTGAATAACGCTGCTATAAACGGGTGGACAAATAGCCCTTCCGAGATCTTGCTTTCAATTCTTCTGTGTATACACTCACAAGTGGACCTGCTGATCATTTGGTAATTCTTTTTGAGGAACCACTACAGTACCCACCACAATGGCTGCACATGTTCTATTTCTACTAACGATGTGCAAGGGTTCCGATTTCTCCACATCCATGCCAACATTTTTTTTTTAAGATTTTATTTATTTATTTGAGAGAGAGAGAGAGAGCACATGAGAGGGGGGAGGGTCAGAGGGAGAAGCAGACCCCCCGCCGAGCAGGGAGCCCGATGCGGGACTCGATCCAGGGACTCCAGGATCATGACCTGAGCCGAAGGCAGTCGCTCAACCAACTGAGCCACCCAGGCGCCCAACATTTTTGTTTTTATAGTTGCCCTCCTAATGGATGTGAAGTGGTATCTCATCGCAGTTTCGATTTGCATGTCCCTCATTAGTGATGTTGAGCAATTTTAAATGTGCTTATTGGCCATTTGTGCATCTTCTTTGGATAAATGTCTACTGTAGTCCTTTGCCTAATTTTGAATTGGGTAGTTTGCTTTTCTGTTTAGTTCTCATTCTCTATTCTGGATATCGATCCCGTATCAGATGTATAATTTGCAGTATCTTCTCTCATTCTGTGGGTTGCCTTTTTACTCTGTAGATCATGTCTTTTGATGCACAAATTTTAAAAATTTTCATGAGGTGCAATCTGTCTTTTTTTTTTTTTTTAAAGATTTTATTTGTTTGACAGAGAGAGACACAGCGAGAGAGGGAACACAAGCAGGGGGAGTGGGAGAGGGAGAAGCAGGCTTCCCGCAGAGCAGGGAGCCCGATGCCGGGCTCGATCCCAGGACTCCGGGATCATGACCTGAGCCGAAGGCAGTCGCTTAACCAACTGAGCCACCCAGGCGCCCAGCAATCTGTCTTTTGTCCATGCCGTTGGTCTCATATCAAAATCATCAAGTCCAATGTCATGAAGCTTGTGCCCTATGTTTTCTTCTAAGAGTTGTATAGTTTTAGGTCCTTGATCCACTTTAATTTTATGTAAGGCCCAGCTTCATTCTTTTGCATGTGGATGTCCCGTTTCCCCGTTTGTTGAAAAGATCTTTGCCCCAGCGTGGTCTTGGCAGCCTGGTAGACTATCATTTGACCATGTATGTGGTTTATTTCTGGGCTCTCTATTCTGCAGAATGCTCGGGGAAGACCCTCCGCAGACGTCGGTCTCCTGCCTTCCAGCTACAGGATCTTCTGATGACCAGCCCAAGCTGTGCTGACCCACATGCAGACAGACAGGCCGGCTGTGTGGATGCCCAACCACAGACGGGTCACGTCTGTACACGTGTCAGGGGGCCTGGAGAGAGCACATACCTCACCTCTCAGGGCTTGCAGGCGCTGAGTGACCTTCCAGAAGGGGCTGGCCTCAGTGGCCACACTCCTGACGCCCCCCTGCTGGAGCTTAGCGGCAGCAGACACCCTGCTTGCAAGGGAAGGCTTCCCGGCACGTGCGGACTTGCAGCCTCGGCCCCAGCTACGCCAGAAGGTAAACGCTCCCGTAGCCAGAATGAAGCCGGCGAACGGCGCGCGCGGCCAGGCTGACTCGACTGTGCTCTGCGGGCCCGCCGTGCGGGGTGCCAGTGCGCAGAGCCCTTAACCGTGCGCCCGGGCGCAGGCCTGGCTCAGGGAGGTGGCGTGGGCGCCCAGGCGCACGGAGGGCGTGCCGGGCAGAGGGCCGCTCCCCCTCCCGAGCCTCGGCCGCAGGCAGCCCCCGCGGGGGAGGCAGGACGGACCGGGCGGAGAGACGAAGGCCGAAGCCGGGCGGGAGCTGAGGAGCTGCCGAGCTCACCCCCAGGCCCGCGGGCACGGGCCCGTCCGGCTCAGCGCGGCCCGGGGCCCACCCCAGCCTCGACAGCGCCCCCCGCGCTCTGCTCGGCCCTCGGTTCCCGGAGGGCTGGCGCCTGCGCGCGGGTGCCCCCGTCGCAGGGGACCCCAGCCCCGGCCCGGCTGCCCTCCGCCGCCCGCCCGCGGCTTCCCCGGGCTCGGATCAACTACACGCCCCGCTGCGTCCATCCGCACCTGGCCCCCGGCCACTTGCACGGGGCAAGCCCCAGGACGGCTGCACGCAGCCCGCGTCGCCGCTCTTCCGAAGCCGAGGCCCGGCCGCAACCCGCCGCGCGCCGCGCGCCGCGCGGAGGCCCCGCCCCCGCCCGCCGGAAGCGGAAGTGCACGCGAACCGGCCGGCGGCGCGCGGCGCGCCGGGACCCGGAAGCACTTCCCGAGGCCCCGCCCCGCGCGCCAACACCGCTGCCGGGGGACGCGGCGCTTCCTTTCTGCGCTCGAGCGCGTGGTGGTGGCAGCAGGTGGGCCGCGTGGCCGGGCGGGGGCGCCGGGCGGGGCTCCGGGGCGGGGGTCGGAGACCGGGGCCGCGGCGGGCGGGGGCGGGCACACGGCCCGGCCTCACGGCGCCGCGCGGTCTCGCAGGCGCGCCCTCGACATGCAGAACGACGCCGGCGAGTTCGTGGACCTGTACGTGCCGCGGAAATGGTGAGCGACCTCCGCCCCCCCGCCCCCCCCGCCCCCCCCCCGCGCCCGCTCACTGCGCCCCCCCCGCAGCTCCGCCAGCAACCGCATCATCGGCGCCAAGGACCACGCGTCCATCCAGATGAACGTGGCCGAGGTGAGCCGGGCGGCGGAGGGCCGGTCCCGCCGGGGAGGGAGTCCCCAGGGCGGCCTGCGGGGCCGGTCCTCCCCGGGCCCCAGGTTAGGGCGAGCGGTGCCTGGCGGTCTCTGACGCGCGTGGACGACTCGCAGGTTGACAAGGTGACGGGCAGGTTCAACGGCCAGTTCAAAACCTACGCCATCTGTGGGGCCATTCGCAGGATGGTGAGTGTGCCCCTGCTGCACTCCCGGCGCGCTGTGGGCCGGGGGGGGCGGGTGTGGGGGGTGCCGGCTGCCCGCCCCGTCCTGGGGTGCGTGGGGAGGGGGCGAGGGGCCAGGGGCCGGGAAGGACCCCGCCGTGACCGAGCCCTCAGGCCGGCCTTGACCTTGCGTGGCGCGTGCGGGCCGGCAGGGCCGGCCTGGCCTCCAGAGGCCCCCGCAGTCAGGCGTGAGGCCGGGAGACTGGGCTGGGCTGCGCTGCGGCGCGGGGAGCGGGGCAGGTGGCCTACCGTGCTTTTTTCCAGGGGGAGTCCGATGACTCCATCCTCCGACTGGCCAAGGCCGATGGCATCGTTTCCAAGTGAGTGAGAGGGCCTGCGTTTGGGCACAGAGGTCCTGGACCTTTCCAAAAACAAGGTGTAACATTGTCCTTGTTTTTGTTCTAGGAACTTCTGACTGGAGATCACGGATGTGGGATGTTTGTCATAAATAAATACTGAAACCCATTTGTGTCGGTTTGTTCTATGACTGGGTGCGTTCTGGGTGTCAGAGGGTCGGGGCCGCTCGGCCGAAAGGAGGCAACCACCCTACAGAGTACATTGCAAAACCACGTTTTACTTCGAACCACAAATACATGACCATTTGCAAACAAATCACCACATGTGACTGGACAATGAGGTCAGATAGTCGCGTAGCGCACTTTTCAGTGACCGCTGCTACCCAGTGCCGAGAGCCGTGTTGGCCCTCAGACCCGTCTCACACGTCTGGGCTTGTTCCAGAGAATGAGGGGTTCAGGCTGAAGTTTGGCTTCAATACTGGCTTTGCTGCGGTGACAGCTGAACACCACACGAGAGCAGCTTTCTGCACAGATGACACGAGGACACAGCAAGGGAGAAGCTATGGGTTGTATCTGAACACGTGAACTCCGGTCGTCTCAGCTGTTCTAAGGTCTGCACGGAAATTCCAAGGACACGTGCCCTTTTCTGAGGTGAAGCTGTGGACCGGGATGTACACTTGGGGTCGGTCCCTTGCAGTACTTGTAACCTAAAAATATCCTTGAGACACGGGGTGGGACAGGTTGCTATCCAGAAGGAAACTTCCACCTTCACCTTGGGTACGTGTGGTTGAAGGGGCCATGTTGGAGAGGACAGGGCGGTATTCCACAATAAATAAGCTTGGAATATGGACTTGGGCTTTGACCTCCATGCTGCAGTCTCCCCTCACCCCAGGAAGGAATGGCTGGCCTGTGGGCAGACACGGATGCTGGGGTCTGGGTGGAGTTGCTGGTGCCTGAGCGCTGTGATGAGAACTGGGGTCTTCTTTTTGCAGAAGCACCGGTCCACACACGAGTACAGGCAGGGCTGTAGCCGGGGCCCTGTGACAGGTTCATAGGACAACAGTAGGGAAGCAGCTAAATGGCCCGGCCAACATGGTCATTTTTGGCAGCAGCTGACCCAAGGGGAGAAACTCCTCAGTTCTTCAGTGGTTGGTGGGGCAGCACGCTGGAGAACCAGGTCACAGAGCGTGCGGAACGGACACGCAGACCTGGGAAAGCAGAACAGGGGCCCTGTTGGCACACGGGGCACAGGCGACGGCCACTATCCCTTGGGCTCCTTTCACGACAGCGGGGACTGCTGCTCCCTCCTGCCTGGGCAGAAACTGTGAGCACCGACCCCTTTAGGGAGGTGGTGCCATGGGGTGCAGGGCCGTGGAGGAGCCCGTCTCCTGCCTGCTTGAGGATCAAGTGTGGTTTTAAGTCAACCTCAACAGATCTCATGTAACCAGTTTTTGTTCCCTTAAAAAGACCCATAGAACCAAATCCCAAGTAACAAATAACGCTGTTTTTCTCCATCACAATATTGCTTAGGAAGATCAAGAGCCAAGAGCAAGCAATCCAGACATCCTGAAAGTCCAGAGTGTCGCAGGTGAGCAGGGTTTCCCGGTGAGAGGTGAGGGGCAGGTCCCCCAGGGGCGGACCAGTGTCTGCGCCGAGGCCCGCTGGGCTGTGCGACCCTCGGGCACCAGGATTTCACAGTGACAGGATGCTCGGAAGAGTAACGAATGAGATAAACCGGAGTCTGCTCTGGTTGACTTAACCTAACGCCAGAGCTCTGCCTGTGGACACAAGGGAGGCAGATGGGCATCCCCAGGGGGGGCGCTGCTGGGCTGGGAGCGAGCCAAGCCGTGGGGGTGCAGTGCCGCGTCTCCACATCCGAAAACCTGTAATAGCCAAGACTAATGCTTCGTTACGTTAACTTCAGCAATTTCAGTATGTCAGGTATGGTCTGGAAACCCAGATCTTCACTGAGATGCTTGCGCAGCAGCTGTGGTTTGCGGAAGACGCAAGGGAGAAGGATGCTGCAGAGCTGGGATGACTGCACAAGGTGAGCCAGGGTCCCCGTGCAGCCCGCTCTCAGGCATGTGGAAAAGAACACAAAATCTCCCACCTTGTTCCTGTGAAAATGCAAGCAGGCTCTCAGGAGTACCATGGGCATGGTGTGCTTTGGAACGAAAGCAGTGTCCCTCCAAGGACGCAAGGGTGTGCAGACAGGGTCGTCGGTCACAGAGGGCAGGTGGGTCCCCGCCAGGTGGGTGCCGAAGTGGGGACCTGTGGGCGTGCCCTGCAGTGCCTGAGAACACCTCCCCGGCCCACGTGTGAGTGCCTGCACCAGGGCTGTCTCGGCAGCGGAGGCCAGCCTCCCGGCATGCGGAGGCCGGCCTCGGCTAGAACTGCTGCGTGAGGCGTCGGTAATGAGGTAACACCTGGCTCTCGGGAAGGTAGAGCGCGAGTTCCAAGGCCACCAGCACCGTGAACTCGAACCCAATTAGATCCCGTCTGTTGAATCGAAACCTTTCTTCTAGCTTCTGCGTTGAAAAAGCGAGGAGATTATGCGGGGCCCGGGCCCCGTCTCCCACCCAGGGCAGCGGGTTGGGGTGTGGGTGCAGGCCAGCTCCAGGTTCCCCACAGGCTCCCCGCAGGTGGCCAGGCCTTGTTGGGGGGTGGGGGGGCTGCAGGCCAGGCTGGGGCGGGACAGGCACACTCACGTCGATGAGCTGCTTCACTTCACTCCTGCGGAGGTCGCTGCTGATCTTGGCAGCGAGCAGCACGCACGCCCCGGCGCACAGCTTGCGGTTTTGCTTGTTGAGTTTGCCCTGCAGGACGAGCTTCTCAAAGTACACGTAGGCCATGGACACCGTCACGGGCTCCAGGCTGCACTCCTCAGAAAGGTTCCGCATCTCCCGCTTTAAACTGCAGGTTACACGGAGGCCCAGGGCTCAGGGGCCGAGGAAGTGGCCACCCTCTTCCTGCCCCAGGAGGGCCCTTTGGGCTGCTGAAAAAGCCCCATTCCCTGCGGGTGGGCCTGGCGCAGCACTCGGCCCGCAGCGTGGAGGGCAAGCCGGCTGATGTTGGCCCGTGGCATCCCCCCCCCCGCCCCGCAGCTGTACTGGCCGGCCCACGCTGTCCTCCAGAGAACACCACAGAGGACACAGTCCCTGCTGTCCTGTGGCAGTGAGGAGGACAATGCGGGGAGAAAACCGCCTGTGGAAAGGCCCGTGGTGTAGACACGCTGAAGCAGCGTCTACACCTTCAGTGAAGCCCCTGCGGGTGCTGCTGGAGAGGGGTCAGTGGGACACAGTGGGGCCAGATGGACCCAGGGCAGGGCAGTCCGCCACTTACTCGCCGTGAGGTCCTGGGCAAGCCTCCTCGGCCCTCGATCCCACTGATCATGGGGGGTCAAGTGCCCGTCTCCCGTGCTGTCCCAGGACAGCTAGGAGGTGTGGGTATGAGAGGCAGCGAGGTGGCCTGGCCCACGGAGGTGGTAGGTAGGGGGCTAGGGAGCTGCTGATCTTGGCCTGGGCAGACGGCAGGGGGGGTCTTGGTGGGGCACCTCTGTATTTGTCAAGCTCAGGGACCTACCAGAAACGGGGGAGAAGAGGAACGGCCCCATCGGGCGGTGGGGCCCAGAGACCTTGCCTCAGCCCCCCTTACCTCCGGATCTTGCTCAGTGTCAGTTTGATGTGCGGGAACTTCTCTCGGAAAGTCTCGTTCATGTCCTTCTTGAGGTCAGAGGGCTTCACATACTCTATCACCGTGGTCTGCAGGAGAGAAGGCAGCAGGGTAGGGAGCTGGCCCTGCACAGGCCTGGGGGCCCACCCGCCCCAGCCCGTGGGCTGATCTCATGCTGGCCGGGGACTGCGATGTGAATGTGTGGCGGCTCCAGGCACCAGCGCTGCCGAGGACAAGCCTCCGGACAGAGGGGCAGAGTGGGCAGCCCCGGGCCGCCAGGGCATGGGCTGAGGGCAATGGTGACCCCAGGGCGGTGTGGTCAGCACAGCCCTCCGGCCTACTGTGCACCCCCTCCTGCTCCTGTCCCGAGGTGCTGCTGGTGTCCAGGGGGTGGGGGGCACGTCAGCCCTGCCCTGGCGGCTTGCCCTCGGCCCGCCCTCAGATACCCAGAGGCGTGCGGACTGGGCACGTGGTGATGCTCACCGTACCATGTAAGAGGCGAAGATGAGGACCCGCTTGTGCTTGCCGCAGGGCCACTGTGGGTCGTCCAGGAGGTTGGGGTTATACTCCAGCGCATCCCCTGCGTCACTCCCTGCATGCAGAGGGCAGCCCTGACCCACCACGAGCCCCCAGCTCTGGCCAACCAGCTTCTGCCAACCCAAGCCTCAGCTGGAACCCTGGTCTAGTGCTGGGGGGGCCATGCTGCTGGGGTCTGGGGTCTGGGAGGGGCTGCAGGCCGTGGTTCCCCGTCCCTGAGGGCTGGATGGAAGGAAGGCTGTCCTGATGAGGAGGGGCCCCCTGCCCCCCCACGTCCATGCCAGTGCCTGGTTGGGTGAAGCCTAGGCTGTCTGCTCTCATGGGAGTCCCTTCTCCTGACCCTGCCTCTGAGCCTGGCGCCCTGTCTGGACTGGGGACTGTGGGCTGGAATGGGTCTCTGGTCGGCCACATGCTGTCCCTTGCCCAGCTGGTGTGGCTGCCTGCCCTGGGCCCAGTTAGGGCATGTGAGGCTACCTAGCTCCGTGCCGGCTGGCGCTGACTTGGCCGGGGCTGGTTTGTATCTTGAGCCTGGCAGAGCGCGGGGGACGCTGGGCCGGGGCTGGGGCGGCAGGCCGTGGCTGTCCATCTTGTGTGTGACCAGGGCATTGGTAGGATACAAGAACTTGGCATAAGACACCACCTGGAGAGGCAAGGGTGTCAGGGCTCAGTCCCTATTGCCCCTGGGCCCATGGCCCCGTCCTGAGACCAGAGGGAGGGCAAGCTGAGCCTTACGCCTTCCTGCTGCAGGAGGGCCCCGCACAAATGCCACCCTTACGTGGACGGGGAAGGACCTACTGAGAGCTAACGCTCCCAGGCAGCCCCGCGCTGGATGCTGCTCACCTGGGGTTAGCGTCCTCAGCAACAAGAATGTTCCAGAATGCCACCCTTGCCCTCCTGTGTGGGGTCTGCCGCACAGGGACCTTCTCCCCGCCTCTGACCGACAGCAGAGGTGGCACCGGG